AGCTCAATTGAGTTAAAAAGTCCTCCACACGTTACTTCAATTTTACACTAACATGGAAATCTCTATGTTCTGTATCTATCTTCTCAGGTATTACTTTAAAAAAAAAAAAATCTGGAAGAAATTCAGTAATCCCACAGTGTCCTTACCCCTGAGGTTATCATCATTCAGAATTTTCACCACCATACTTCCAAATAGGTAGAATCAAGCTGCTGAAGTGGGAAGGTCCATATATACCACTCCCAGGAGCCAACTCCATTCACCCCTCTCTGCCTTTTCCAACCCACAGGGCAATCCACAAAGTTCAGTAGGCAGCCAGTGAACTTGGCTTCCAGAGAGATCACCATCTGTTTTTCTACCTCTAATAAATAAAGTACCTCTGTTCTATAAATTCACATTGCTTATGGGACTAAGGCCTAGAATGAAAATGGAGATAGAATTTTTGTCCAGTTTTAATGAGTTTAAAAAAAAAATTCGTGGGTAGCAAGTTTATGCTCTAAGAATGTATGCACTGCGCAACAGTCTGAATTTGATCGGGTTCAAACAATGCTACCATGTCCTAAAATCCTGGGCATTATACGCTTTCCAAATGTACAGTGTCATCAAGGTTTTATGACATTTCCTACAAAAACTCAATAGTCAGGTAGCACTTCATCAGTTACAGTTTAAATTCAGGTATGGGAACAGAAAATTACAGCTTCAGCATGGAAACTGTACCGCTCTTCTGATTTCAGTGTCACAGCCCCATGGGAATATTTCACTAAACACTTTTCATACACGTGCATTTTTGTCCCCTACTAAGAGAACTCCATGTCTTGGAATTACAGAGTAAAGCCAAAAGTATGATAGTAGAGCCAAAAATCCACTCTAGATGACCTCTGTCTTCCTACAAAAACTTCATCAGAGATGTTCCTCCACCTGGGGTTTTCTGTTTATTCGGCCTCACTTCCTTCTTCAAGTGATGAAATACTTAGAGCATCGTGTCCATGCCTGTCTACATGGCTTATGGAGCACACAAGACTTCTGAGACCCAGAGCTCTGAAGGCAAAGCTGACAGATATGAAATGCAAGCCTAGCTTTGCCAGGGTAAACGTGGCCAGGAAAGGAGCGTACCTAGTTCCACTGGCATCAACACAGGGTTGCAAAAGAGTCTATGAGAAAGAAATATTAAGTAATACTCCATGTCTGACATTGACATGAGCTTATTATTCTTCCATGCCAACACACCCTAATCCAAAGCTTATGCTATTTCAATCCAAGCCTGCCCTAAAACAGCCAATTATGCTGAATGTAGTCTAAGCTCCAAGGAGTCTCCAGAATTAAAGACAATATTTCATTGGCCCATTCGTTTTTGTATTATTTCTACATTTTGAGTCAGTTTCTAAATCATATGCATCACTTCTCTAGGGATTATTTCCCTTTCACATTGCAGGTATAATAGAACTCCTGTGGCTTTGCTACGTTGCCAGTGGTTTTATTTCCTCCCCAAAAGTATTGGTAAACTTGGTTTAAAAACCTGAAGCTGAGTAACCTCTCCAAATAAACATGAAACATTTCCAAACCCATTGTCTACATGACTTAAACCAGTGATATCATAATCATGTTGCCAAAAGGAGCGATAATATACAACTGATTTTGTTCTAGAACTTCCAGACTGGTTCTCAAGCTTTTAAGTATGGCTGTGGAGGAAAGTTTAAAATTCTGCAAAATATTTGCATTGGTAAAAGTGGTCATTTGTCACTTATGCATTGTAAGTGCCATCCCAAAATATTCACTGAGAAAACTGTTGTCATTTATTCCTCAAGAATGAGTGCACTTAGTCTCAACTTCTGACAAAATGGACAAGTGTGATATTTTTCCTTAATTCACTCTCACACCTGGTGTCATCATCATAAAAAGTGAAATTTTTAAAAAATGAGGCTTATTCTCTTAATTTACAATAATTATTTTATTATATATTTCTAAAGACAAAAAATACTTTTATCTAGGCTATGTGACCTTGGGCAAGCTTACCATAGCCTCAATATTCCACAATTCCTTAGATTAATAATTGTGCCCATCTCACTAGGTAGTGGTCAAGAGTAAGTAAACAGTGCATGTAACAAGCACTATTTACATGAGTAAATAAAGTATCCAGCAGTGTTCAATATAAGTAAGTTCAATAAATGCAACCTTTGTTATTATTTGCAGCTGGATATTTTCAATGAAAAATCTTCTTTTGAATCCTTAGAACATGCTCCAAGACAGGCTACTATAACCATCTCTCTGTTATTCCCATGTACCCTAGACAGCCCCTTTGATTCAAGGGTCCTTAGTAATCTCTGCTCAGCTCTCTTCTGAATTTCTGTATCAATTAGCTAGTGCTACAAGAGGAGGCTCCAACGACCAGGACCTTGTCCATGAAGATCTCTACAGAAATGAATTAATAATATGATTCATCAAATCGCCAATATCCTGAGAGTTTCTAACAAATGCAGTGTCTCTACTTTTAACTCTTTGGTAAATCCTCTATAATTTGGTTTAAATCTAACTTTGTTTTTAAAATGTGACGCACTATTCTGTACGTAAATGTACCATTTAGGCTCTGGCTGACCATAACAGAACAGGAAGAGACTAACTGGCTCTCAGAGTTTAAGAAAGATTAGAGAACTCACTTATGAAAAGTCAAAAGCGTGGGGAATATACTAATAGATATTAGAATGCTCATCACAACCTCCGCACTGAAACAAATGAATGCCAACTATTGTTGTCATCTTTGCATAGCTCTGTCCTTGAATCAAATTCACAAGAATAAGTGCTCCTGGCAGCAGGGGGTGAGGATGTAATATAACCTTGGCCAATCAAATGCTCCTACGCAAGACTTTAGAGCAAGTTCATTTATCCATTCATTCAACAAATATTTATTAAGCATTTAGTACCTTTTGGGTACTAAAGATATGGGGGAAAGGTCTCCCCTTTTGGAATTTATATTCTAGTAATATGAATGAACTAGGTATATTTAAATATATATAATATTTATTGATATATTTAATACATATTATATAAATTTTAAATATATATATATGTACACACACACATTTGTCAGATGGTTAGAAGTTCTACTTAAAAAAATAAAACTGGATGAGAGAAGACAGAGTGCAGGAATGTGGGTGGTCATGCGATTTTATGCAGGATGGACAAAAAAGGACTGTAACAAAGCACTATTTAAACAGAGACCTGAAAGAAGCAAAGGCATGAGCCATGTGGCTATTTCGAGCAGTTCTGTCAATAGGAACATAGTGTGAGTCACACAGTTAATTTTAAGCTTTCTAGTAATCACATTAAAAAAGTAAAAAGAAACAGGTGAAATTCATTTTCATAATGTATTTTATTTTACCTGATATGTCCAAAATATTTTCATTGCAACATATAATCAAAGTAAAAAATGATTCATGAGAGATCTTCCATTTTTTTCATAAGTCTTCCAAATCTGATGTGCAGTTCACACTTGCAGCACATCTCAGTTGAGGTCTTAATCTCTACATGTGGCTCGTGACTACCACAATGGGCAGCATGGGCTCAGAATGAGAGTGTCCCCGTAAAGGCTACAGTAAATGTCAGGTACCAAGACAGCATGCCTCACGTGTCTGCAGAAGAACATGAAGGCCACAGTGTCTGGTGTAGTCTGAGCAAAGGGGAAGGCAGTGAGACAGGAGGCCAGACTGGCCAGGGATAGCCCAATCCTGCAGGGTGTCCTGGGCCCTTGCAAGGACTTCCACTGTTACTCTGAGTGACAATGGAAGCCAATGGAGGTGGAGACAGCTGTGCTCCTACGCTTGGTTTATGCTCTGATGTTACCATCCTGAAATTCTCAATTTTGGGACAGGGGCGTCATGTTTACATTATGCAATGGACCCCCAAAATTATGTAACTGGTTGTGACTAGAGAGTTTTGATCAGAGAGTGACATGAACTGTTTTATGCATTACAAGGATTAACCCAGTTTCTGTGTTAAGAATAGGCTGTAGGAAACATGAGGGAGGATGCAAGAAAATCACCTGGGATGCTGTAGATCCATGCCAGGTGAGAAATGATGATGGCAGGTGACAACAAGAGCAGGGGCCAGTTAGTTCCATTTGCTGCAGCTGCAGCAGAGCACCTGACAGCATGCCTGTGGATAGCAGCATCCACACCAGAGGCTCCTGCTGCCCACCACTGATTTTCACCTAGTTTCCACTCTGGCCGCCTGTTCATCTGACAGCCCTGTATCTTCCCAACACATTTTATTGTTTTGTAAAAGAGCAGTCATTGGTGTCTCTTCTCACCTACCCTTTTACCAAAAGAAGGCAGGATACTCAGTGGTCCCACTAAAACTTTATAGAGTAGCAAACAGGAATTCTCCAAAAGAAAATCGGGACGCTATCACAAAATCAGGGTCCCCTATAAGGTAGAAAATGAGCTGCTAAATGAAGGAAGGGATGACCCTAACAAGGTCGAGCATCTTTTATGTTGCATCACTGTGGCTGGAAATTATTATACATTCTTTCCATTGATTTCAATTAAGTAATGAGTGTAAAACATTACTCCTGCCTCCCAAAAATCTGTATGGGCTTCACAGAATAGGATCTACTACAGTTTATGTGAATATCAAATGTATCTAAAATACATTCAGGACCCACAAAATACATGGCTAACTCTCAGTAAGGAAGAAAAAATTAACTGTTGGGACCTTCGGTTATTTTAGATTTGAATCTAAATTTGTACAATTCTCTCTATGTTTAAGCTGGTGAATAAAAAATAATCATCACTATTTAGTTTCTAGATAATCAAGTAGAAAATTCATCAAGTAATGCTAATATTGACAAGATACAACTACCAGTAAGTGAAACACCAGTATGAAAATCAGCCTATACTTCCTGATCTAAGATTCATAAAAGAATACTTATTTTCCATGTGTTCAAAATTTTTCTAAAATGACAAAACATGGATGATACCCCACTTGAAGGGCTTGTGTCAGCTACTCACCTTTTTCTGAAGAACATTGATTTTTCTTTCCTTCACCTCTAACATATCTTTCATGTCACGAATCTCACCGGCCAGTGTCCCCTTCTCTTCTGTGAGGTCCTGCAGCTGTTTCGTTTTTTTATTGAGGAAAGATTCTTTTTCTTCCAGTCGTAATCTCAGCGCATCTACCTGAAATCAGGAAAAAGACAGAAGGTTGTGGTTTTACAGAAAGGTCATCAATAACCATCACTTGTGCCCTTGGAGGGGGCAGGGCAGCAGCATGTTCACTGAGCAAGGCACAATGGAACCACTGCTTATGGCAACCTCACTGCCCTGCATTTTAACAGCCTATATCCTTCTTCTTTTTTTTTTTTTTTTTTTTTTTGAGACAGAGTCTCGCTCTGTCGCCCAGGCTGGAGTACAGTGGTGCGATCTCTGCTCACTGCAAGTTCTGCCTCCTGGGTTCACACCATTCTCCTGCCTCAGCTTCCCGAGTAACTGGGACTACAGGTGCCTGCCACCACGCCCGGCTAATTTTTTGTATATTTAGTAGAGACGGGGTCTCACCGTGTTAACCAGGATGGTCTCAATCTCCTGACCTTGTGATCCACCCGCCTCAGTCTCCCAAAGTGCTGGGATTACAGGCATGAGCCACCGCGCCCGGCCAGCCTACATCCTTCTTAAAGCCCTATTTGCGCACATCTCAATAGTGATACTTTTAAAAATATATATATAAGACTTCTATGAAATAAGACATTATGAAATAGTGGTAGGTTTCCATGTTTGTTTCCCTACTTACAGGAAACAACATGTTTGTTTAAGCTGGGAAACAAAGCACATCAATACTCCCATGTCTCTCTGAGAGCCCAGGGAGGGTAAAATATTGCTCAAGCTTTGCAGCACAGTCCTGAAATACGGAGAACATAATGAGCCACGCCATGGACATCTGGAGGAACAAGACTGACATGTAGAGAAACACTCCTAAATTAGAAAAATACATGTTGCCAAGAGGACACTCATGCTGCTGGAGGAAGAAAATAAGATAGAAATGAAACACCCATTCTCCAGCCTCATGAAAGACTGCTTTCCAAATACTTTTAAAGAAAAAAAAAAGACAAAGCATACAAAAAAAAATCCTCTTTGTAACTCAGCTCTAAAATTTTAAAAAATTATAATTCCTGCTTTTCAAATGTTAATAAAAAAGAAAATATAAGTTTTTTTTTTTAATTTAACATTTTGAAGGCCATGTGCAAAGAAAGGTCTATTTCTAGACTACTCAGACTAGATCATAGAAACGAGTCACTGGGGTAGTAAAAAAAAAAAAAAAGAGACAACAAAAAGAATATGAAGACCATCAGAATACCATTTTGAGTTAATTTTCTGTAGCATTTTAAAACTGTATTTTTTGATATACAACACCATATTTGCAACCGTGTTTATAAATGTACACTAATCCAGTCTTAAAATGTAACTGTGACAAACACTTTATTTGAAGGATTATTGTCCTTAATTATTGACAATGATGGACCATGAGATTTCCAAGGGACTTGTTCTCAGCTAAACAATGACATTCAATGTTACTCCCAAGACATTTACTTTTTTTATTGGATATATTTAAAAAAAAAAAAAAAAACATTAGGACCGTTTACCACAATTATTTTGCTGCCACTTCAGCAGATACTACTGCTATGGTCTGAATGTATTGCTCAAAATTCATAAATTGAAATCAAATCCCCAATACAATAATATTAAAAAGTGGCGCCTTTAGGAGGTCATTAGGTCATGAGGGCAAACTGCCTCATGAATGGGACTAATTCCTATAGGAAAGAAGCCCAAAGGAGTTCATTCACTCCTTCCATCATGTGAGAACACAGCAAGATGGCACCATATATGAAGCATTGATTGATCTCTCATCGGACAAGAAATCTGCTGGTGCCTTGATCTTGGACTTTCCAGCCTCTGCAACTGTAAGACATAAATTTCTGTTGTTTATAAGTCACCCAGTCTACGTACTTTGTTCTAGCAGCCTGAATGAACTAAGACAACCACCATGATTTATTTTTTCTGGATCATTAAAGACACCTTAACATGTGATTGTATGCAAAACCAGGGTTAGAACCATCCAGGAACTAACTCTTCAAGGATCAGTCCTGATCCCTTTGGGAAAGGATGTATGAAGTAACTCTTTGTCAGTTCCCTTAATGTGGGAAAGGAATATACTATGTTTACTACAACAAATCAAAATTAAATAAGATCATGTAGAACAGGGGTCCCCATCCCTCGGACCAGTTCTGGTCCAGGGTCTGTTAGGAACCAGGCCATACAGCAGGAGCTGAGTGTTGGTCGAGTACTACTACCTGAGTTCCGCCTTCTGCCAGATCAGCAGTAACATTAGATTTTTATAGAATTGAATGAACCTAGGTCCCTCACATGTGCAGTTCACAATAGGGTTCACGCTCCTATGACAGTCTAATGCCTGATGATCTGAGGTGAAACAGTTTCATTCCTAAACCATCCCCTACACCCCACACCATTTTGTCTGTGGAAAAACTTGTCTTCCACAAAACTGGTCCCTGGTGCCAAAAAGGTTGGGGACTGCTGATATAGAGAGTGTAAAAGACATGTCCACAAAATGATTTTCATAGAGATACCCACAGCAGCATTGTTCATAATGGATCACACAGGAAACAACACAAATGTCTATCAGTAAATGAATGGATAAATAAAATGGTAGTATATTTATATGGAATATTACTATCCATAAAAAGGAGTGACCTGCAGAATCACACAATAATATAGGTGAATCTCAAAAGCATCCTGAGTGAGAGAATCTAGAGGATTTACGGCATGACTGTGTTTCCATTTTTGTGAAATTCTAAAAGAGGTGAAAATAATCTATGGTGACAGAAATGAGAGCAATGGTTGCCTGGGGTGGAAGGTGGGAAGGGCTGATTATAAAGGGACAGGAGGGTATTTTTTGCCTCTAAATCGATTAGTGAGAGTGCAGAACAGTTACATGGTGCACAAAATTGTCAAAAGTAATTGAACTGTATACTTTAATAATTTACACTTTGATATACAGTTATAATTTATATTTCAATAAGTTTGAAAAATATATGAATACATAACTAAGAATTAACAAATATCTTACAAGAATGTCTTTCATGAAAGAGAGAGGTCAAAATAAACAAAACACCAAACTGGGAACTAAATTGCCTTATAATGTAACTGGGAGAATGAAGTGGGGGTTGGATAAGATTCCCATGGGTGATGAGGTATTGAGGTGATGAGGTATTGGGGTGATGGAAGGACTTAATCTTCACCCTCCATAGCAGGAAGTCAACAGATAGTAGCTATACTAGCAATCAGGAAGTAGAGAAGCAAGTATGTTATTTAGAGATATCAAAATAACTGAACAAGAAGAGTTAAAAGAGTTTGTCTTAGGGAAAAAAAAAATGGAACAGGGGAAGTAGAAGATTGCTGCATTTCATTACAAAAATTTTCAAACATTTTGCTTCCTTATCCTATAGGTAAGTAAAATTTGAATGGAAAGAAAAAAAAAGACGAAATAAATCAAAAACAAAAATCACACAAGAATGCCATAAGAAATCAACAGAAGATATACAGCTACCCAAAACATATGAAAAATACTCAACATCACTAATCATCAGGGAAATGCAAATTAAAACCATGGTGAGAATATCACCTTATCCCAACCAGAATGGCCATTACTAAAAAGTCAACAAACAATAGATGTTGGCATGGATGTGGTGGAAAGGGAATGCTTATACACTGCTGGTGGGAATGTAAATTAGTAAAACCTCTATGGAAAACAACATGGAGATTTCTCAAATAACTAAAAGTCAATCTACTATTCAATCCCACTACTGGGTATCTACCCAAAAGGAAAGAAGTCATTGCATCAAATAGATACCTATGTGTGTATGTTTATCACAGCACAATTCGCAATTGCAAATATATGGAATCATCCTATATGCCTATCAAAGAATGAGTAGATAAGAGTAGATAAAGTGTGATATATATAAGATATACATATGATAAGAATGAAATAATGTCTTCTGCAGCAACCTGGATGGAATTGCAGGCCATCATTCTAAGTGAAGTAACTCAGGAATGGAAAACCAAATACTGCGTGTTCTCACTTCTAAGGGGGAACTGCATGTTATCTGGGTACTGCATGTTATCACTTGTAAGTGGGAACTAAGTTCTGGGTACACAGAGGCATGTGAAGTGGTATAATGGACACTGGAGACTTAGAAGCAGGAAGGGTGTAAGGAGGATGAGGAATAAAAAACTACCTACTGGGTGCAAGGTACACTACTCAGGTGATGGGTACACTAAAATCCCAGACTTCCTCACTATACAATTTAACCAATCATGTAACCAAAAACTACCCATAGCCCCTAAAGATACTGAAATTTAAAATTTTTTAAAAGAAAAAAAGAAAAGTTCAGAGCAGCAGAAGGTGGCATTTAAAAGAGAAAGCACAACAACAACAAAGAAGCCAATAGGAACAATAGAAAGAGGACACTTAGGTTTTTAGGACTGGTTCTGCTTTTATCTGTCTGAGAGGATGAGGACAGATAACTCTCATTTCCCCTCCCCCAGTCTTCCAGCCTCAGTTTCTCCATCTATAAAACCAAGAGGTGTGAACAGATCATACCTGACATCTTAGGATTTTTAAGGACAGGAATCCATTTTTGGTAGAATGTATCAGGGAAGGACGATGATATTAGAGAGAAAGAAAAATTATTGGAGTAGAAGATCCTTTTCTTGCTCCTTGACAAGAAAAGGGTGCCTAAGCTGTGTTTCTAAAGGTCAAAGGTGACAGGGAAGTGAGAGTTTTTCCAGTTTCTGTTCCAGTGAGAAGGATGAAGCTGGGAGGTCCCAGTAGGGGAAGGGGTGATCACAGATGTGTGGAGCCCCCAAGCCCTAATGGCCCTGACTGCATTACAAAAGAGGATGGACATTCTGTGACTAGGGAGGAAAACGGCAGAATCTTCGAATAGCTGATAGCTGTGCCCCTTCTCACATAATAGCCAGAAAGATATGGGGCCTGGGAAGGTGGAGCGGTACTCATGTCCTGGAGATCTTCCTCTTCCTAAATGAAAATTCATGTCGGGTGCACTAAAGATGATGCACTAAAGATGGACCACAGATTCTCATGT